AGTAAAATTTTAGTGACTACTCGAGATCTTAATGTTGCATCAATGATGGGGTCCTCTGACTCACAAATCACTCATCTAGAGAAATTGGGTGACGAGGAGTGTTGGTCAATACTCAGAGACATAGCATTCAGAGGAAAGGACAAGATGAAGAGTAGAGAAGATTTGGAGGAAATTGGTAGGAAAATTGCAAAAAGATGTAAAGGCTTACCTCTTGCTGCCAAAGTTTTAGGAAGTCTCTTACAGTCTAGAAGTACAAAGGGAGAGTGGCTGACTATCTTGGACAGTGAAATATGGAAACTAAATTTGGCACAAAAGGAAATTTTTGCTCCTTTACTATTAAGTTATTTTGATTTGCCCTATCCTGTAAGGCGATGCTTTTTGTACTGTGTACTTTTCCCTAAAGATATTGAGTATTTGTATATTGATATAATATCACACTGGCAGGCACAGGGGTTTTTAGGCTCTAATCCTAATGTAGACTTGGAGTCAGTAGGGCAAGAATACTTTAGCATCCTAGCAGCCCACTCTTTCTTTCAAGATTTTGACTTTTGTGATGGACTCATATATCAGTTTAAGATGCATGATGTGGTACATGACTTTGGTAAATATTTGGCAGAGGATGAGTTTGCTATGGAGCTTGTGGGGTTTGATCATTGGAGTACAAACTCAGCAAAACAGCGTCACTTGGTAGTGATGGTTGATAAAAGGATGACTTTTCCAACATCCATTTCTGGTGCAGAAAAGTTGCGAACTGTTGTAACTTATACAGGAGAGGATGCTTTGACTCCGAATGCATTGCGTAGCTTGTTTAATCATTGCAGACGCTTAAGGTTGTTGGATTTTCGCATGCCTGTTGGACGTAATCATTTATGTAATGAAGTTCCTGAAGAAATTGGGAAATTGATGCACTTGAGATATATAAACTTGGCTGGTAGTGAAAAATTAGGAAGGCTACCTGAAACACTATGCAACATATTTAATTTGGAGTGTTTGGTTCTTGCAGGATGCCAAAATCTGAAGCATTTGCCAGACTCGATAGGAAAATTACTCAATTTGAGGAGTCTTCTTACTAATGGTTGTTCTGCTCTGACTCACTACCCAAAAGACATTCGCAAATTGACTTCTCTTAGAATTGTAGGCGGGATCATTGCTAGAGCTGATAGGAATGATGATAAGGAATTTAGCCTTGCTGATCTTGGAAACTTGAAGCATCTGCGTAGAGTTGGGATGAAAGTTGTGGGAAATTCAATTGATAAGGAAGAGGCTAGAAAAGCTGAACTTCAGAATGTGGAGGAGTTATTAATATATTTGGTTGGAGGAGTCGAGGAAAGTGACATAATTGAAGCCTTACACCCACCTTCAGGCATAAGATTTGGTTTCAGCGACGACTATTGGTTCTTTCCGCGTATCTCAGAATAAAAAGGTACTCCATTACCATTTATATCCTCTGGGTTTTTCTATTAAAAGTGTGTTTATTGTATATTTTTATTATAAATATTTATAAAAAATATAAAAATTAATATTAATTTTTATTAAGTAAATTTAATTAGATAATTAATAAATTAAATATTAATTTTTATTTTTTTATATAAAATTATAATAAAAAAATATATTTAATACATTTTTAATTTATATTTTAAAAATATAAGTTAGACAATCTCATATCTGATATATTGGCTGTTCAAACTTATCAGGACGACTATTGACTCGTTCCGCGTGGCTTTGAATAAAAAGGTACTCCATTACCATTTATACCCTATATACTGGCTCTTCAAATTCATTTTTTTATTCAAACATTGCTGATTTCTAAAGTTTCTTATTTTTATTGACTTTGTTTTGTAGTTGCGTGCTTTTCTCTGTGGGACGCGTGCATGCTTCTCCAAGGTAATGGTTTAGTACTCTTAACAATACTAAATCCTTTTTATTTTGGTACATCTAACTTGACAATATGCTATATACGAAAAGGAGGTATCTCTAAAGTAATGGTTGATAACTTATTTTTCTTAAATCCTTTTCCCTCACACTCTTACCAATTGAGATACCTCCTCTATAAAAACAAGTTTCTTATCTGGAAAAATTATATGCATTATTTGTAGGAGTTGAACATGCACGTGGCAACAAGATTCTGAAAATTGAGGAATGGGTTTCTTGTACTGTTGTTGAATAAGGAAAACTTATGGTATGTGAATAAGGAAGTTGTTTGCCTCTGGAGAAAATCTATTGTCTTAATTTCTTGTTGTTTTGTATTTGGAATATCATGTACAAGAATTGTGTGCTTGCGTGTGTCCATGTTTTTTGAACATTATTATGCAAAACTCATCGTGTATCTCCTACTCTCATTGTGTATAACTGATAGCATGCATCTATCACTCTAACAAAAGCATTTGAATATAAATATGATCATAGATAGCAACCAATTACAATTTATGCAATACATTTTCAACAGTATAAATGGTCAATTGTCATGAATTATCAAACAAATGGGTGGGAAAAAGCATAAAGATGCACTTCCTTCACCTTCTGGACTCACCAACATCAACTTGCTTCTCATGGAGAGTGCTAGTCAACCTTCCTGACCTAGATTGCTTGGAAAGCGGTCAGATTTGGGATGGTTGGAGTGTCTGAAACCCCCAAAACAACATCCCCAGGTTTCACCATTTCCTTTGGTTTCATAAGATCCATGGTTCTTTAGATGTTGCCTTCCATATCATCTGAAAGATCAGCGAGCAAGGGAACAACCCACCATTGCAGATTTAAAGCCTGCCGGAAGTCACTGCCACTGGTGAAGGCAGATATGGTTGGATATGGATGGTTTTGAGACAAGAGTGGCGCCAAATGTCCAAACTTTTGTGTACGCAAATATGGCATCCAAGCCTAGGTTGTTAGCGACAGAGAAAGCACACAGTAATAAAACTTGACATCTGTGGATGCAAAAATATTCCTAAGCTAAACAATGAGGGATGAATGCATGCTATGTTTAACAAGCACTTAACAGAGTCCGTATTAACGTCAAATGCTTGATTCCCGTGTCAAGTTGAGAGACTCAGTTTAAAATCTTTGTAATAGCTAACCAAACGAACTTTCTCATGTAACAACAAAAGAATGCTTGCTTTGTTAAAATGGCAATAACTAAAATTGTCAGTTTTTAAAAGGGAAGGAAAAAGAAAAAGTTGAACAAACTTAACCAAAACAAATGTGGCAAATGTCTCTGTGAAAGCATATCTTCAGAAGTCCAGATTTAACCAAGTTACTAAACTAGTACAAGCCTTTTCTCAAGTTTTCCGCCATAAGAATCAAGTTTGTCTTTCTCAGGGCTAAATCCCATCCCAATTAAACCCAATAATACCACCATAAAATCATGTCTCGTTCAAGTGCTAAACAA